GCAACCTAATAGAGATGGCCTTCCTAGAATAATTATTATATAATTAGGATAACTCCATAAGTATCCATATATAAGCCAGAAAGGAATATGGCCAAGCTGCCCAGCTGCCTTTACACATATCAGCACAACATATACTATTTGAACAACCGACCAACTTCCATCTAGAGCTATAAGGCTGCAAGGCAACATGCACAAGCACATTTCAGAAAGGTTGAAAAAAGCACCTCTCACAAGTCATGAGAACCGGATGCCTTCTGGCTGCCAGTCATCGGAATCTTCTAAATCAACATTGCCTTTGGTGTGGAGGCCTCGTCTCATCAATCTTTATTGAGACATCAATCAGAACCTGAAGTCTTTGAGGTCCTTGTGCCGCATACATTGTGTGGTGCAGTGGCATGTGCGTCGTATGAAGTCATATGAGTCATATGTGTGCTTGGCACATGGATCAACATCTCTGGAAAACAATTCGACTGTTCCCATATTAACGGGGTTGCGAAATGAACGACAGCAAGACTGCAAAATGAATGTAGTGAACTTTTAGCGTAGCAGCGTAGTCCTGCCAAGACACTCTGAGTTCCGCTCTCTTGCGGCCTCAGCGCCATCTGCACCGACTTCCAGTCTGGGAGATCAATCTTTTGCCTGACCCGGCTACACAGAAAAACCTCCAAATTGCAGAAGGCAACAAGCAAGCTGTCGCTCTTGGGCCTGGTAAAGCTGCAAATTACAGGGAAACGCCTTGCTGCATTGTCTGAAATATCCTGACAATGGCAGGATGCTAAGTATGGCAGTGATGCTCCCTCCACTATTGGTGCGCCTGCGTTCTTGAGAGCCTGCATGAATTGCCATGGCCAAGATTCCCCAAAACAACTACTTGCGAATCTCAAAAACTCAACTGATGCAAACCCAAACATCCCAAGCATTCGAAGAGGGCATGGAGATCCAAGATGATGCACGTACCATCAAGTACCAGTAGTACTGGATGCCTTGAAAAAAACGGTGTCAGTGACGATGACAGATGGTTGATGGTTGTGGTCATGATGGTCGCATCTGGGTCAAACTTGACAAAATATTAAGCAATATTTAAAAAGACGCATGTATCACCAACCAATTCAAAACCCATTCGCAAATCACATCTATGCAAAGCAACCAGTTCCAAGAAGGTTGTGAGGATTGTTCGGGTAAAAGCACTGATGAAAGGTGCCGCGATTGGACAATTGTGGTTCATTCAGAATCTACTTATGTCCTCAATCTGGACCTCGACCTTGCTCCCCAAAGGATACGTCTGATGAATGGATTCTGCCAGCTCCAAGTTGTCCTGAAGACATTGATCAAGAGTTCAAGAGTAAACTGCGCCCCGTGTCTGCCTTCATGGTCGGCACTGGCACAAGAGCATCCACTTCTGCTCCGATGTCAATCCGAACGCCGTCAAGAAGTGACACCTGACTGAATGATCATTCGATTGGCTCAAAAGCATCTCCCACCAGAATATTCCCGATACTTCCAAAGATCTACAGTATGCTGACTTGGTGTGTTTCATCTATCTTGGCTTAGCTTGTTGGGTTTGTGTTGACTAGGCCAAGCAACCTCAACTATTCGTCCACTCGTCTTGCCACCGACGTTCAAGTCTTTGAGGGCTTGCCTTCCCTGCAGGGATGTGCTAAAACAATGTGCCAACACGTCGTGCATGAAGCTCACAAATAAGGCAGTTCCTCCATCCAACTCAGCCAAAGCTTGAGTCGCTTAATTGATCCAGCAAAGTGCGCCTTCATCCCTCGCAATGGCTTCCGCACGTCACAAATCCTTGGAAGGATAACTATATCAAAGAGGTGAGCCCTGCTACAGCGGATGAAGTTTAAGCCTCAATCAACTATAGCAGCTATAGCATATTGGCACAAGCTTGAAGAAATACATAAAACGACTGGCTTTGGAACCTTCAACTGCACGAGGCTTCTGCGGGCTCAGGGATCAACGCAATAGTGGAACAATATGGTGGACATGGACCAATGGAAGCGGGCTGTGAAAAGAATGTTGGGGCTGACATAGACTTCCCAGCAACCATCTCTCTCGTTGCGTGGGCTGTTCCGTAGCTTGTGCATAGACCACTTGGGTAGCCAAAAGGTCAAACTTTGGTTGCACATCCGACGAAGATGGCCAGCGAGCCAAAAAGGGCCTAGAGCCGACTGAGGAACGAAAGGCACCATGACACAAAGAATGCACGCTTGGCAAGATAGGAAGAGGGCGAGAAGGAATATTAATGGGACTTGAAGACTGGAGGATACAGGATACAGTTGTTTCCCCAAGAAAAACTAGGAACCACAGTGAATAGTATGAGGGCATTCCTGCGTCCAAGCCCAATCCGGCCTACCCCCCTCTCGGCAGAAAAATATCTATTGCAAATCCTCCCATTCCGCCAACCATTATTGCCCGATTTAGCCATGCTGAACCCTCTGGGGGCCCTGGGGCTCTTGGGAACACAAGCGATCTTGCAGCGGTGTTTCTTTAGAGCATGATAATTGCCTTTGGATTGTGTTTCAACCAAAGTGCAGTCAGGGGATCACCTAGACCTAGCTTAATACATTGTATTGTGCAACCAGGTTGATTAGGTTCATGTTACATGATGTTTCAACCAGGGTGCGTGAGGGATTCAACCCGGTGAACCAGGGCGGGGGACAATGCCGGAGTCGACAATCGTTTGATGTCTGATAATAGTGCTTTGAGTCTCACTCTTATCACACTCTTCTTGCTTCGCACGAGTGCGTCAAATAGCATCGAACCGGCAGAACTTGCCCACAGTGCGTTGGCTGCATAAGAAGCCAGGTTTGGGTTTAGTGCTTGACATGCTGCTTTGTTTCGGCGATGGTTCATATTAATATCACCATCTACATGTTGCAAGGAAGGTTTGTGGCAACTGTGAAGAAGTCAACAGGCTTCAAAGAAGCCCCAAAATAGTCCAAAACAACTTTTGTTTATTTTTGGTGATCAATCCTGGTGTTGCTTCTTTTAGCAACATTGTTCGTTGACACGTTGCGAATGGACACATGTTCAAGCCGGAATCCCAAGCAGTTCTGTGAACTCTAACAGTAACATTAATGATGAACCGAAGACCTAAACCGCACAATGCCAATGCCGAGTGTGCAAACATGTTTCCAACAGTTCGCGCAACTTGATGGCACCTTCATCATCCAAATCTATAAATTAAACATGGTAAAGGTATGTAAAGGATTGTAAAGGTATCCTATACACGTACGTCGCGAGAGTCTGCCTCTGTCTCGCCGCTTCTGCTTAGTGACTGCAAGGGCGCATCTAAAGGGTCAGCTTCTTCCTTGCCCATCTGTGCTTTGACCAATGGCCTCCGACGAGTTCCTTGAGGTCGAAATATGGCAGCTTCATCCTGAGCAATCGTCGCGATAGATACGCCCCTCCATTTGGAAAGCAAATTGGGTGTTTGGAACTGCCACTGCTTGCAGATGCTTGCAGCTAAGGCACCATGTGAAGTTGCACTTTCCGCAGGAGATCTGAACCTTGCACTCACAAAGCGTCCGTATGCCTAATTATGCGTTCCAAAACGCTCTTCCTATTCTGTGCTAAGACTGCAAGAAGAAGTCAAGTAGACATTGACAAGTGCATCTGGGATTCTGAGAGGATCTGGTGGAAGATCTTTCGGGGCAACAACATTCCGGACCATCTCAATGTCTTGTGGCTCGAGGAGCCTCACCGGTGATCTTGAAAGACTTCTTTGCAACCAGTTTCTGGGTGCCCAGTCTGCTAGGTTTTGGTGCGCGACCCGCACGCCTCAAAACGATTTGTTTTTTGGTCTTGCTCCTCGAAAGATCGATGTTGGCCGTTCTTGCAACCTCTTCAAGCTCATGTTTCGAGAGGTCTTGCAAGTACTCGTGCAGCATCTGGAACTCCTCGAGCACGCAAGCACTATGTCACTATATATGCAAACAATGGCTCGCATTACAGGAAACAATTGTATAATCAGCTCTATGACGCTCTATGTGACAATGCCCCCACGTCCCACAGACCCAAAATCGGCATCAAACATCTGAAGGCAGGGGAAGGGTGCGTCGGTCTTGGCCACTATGGTCAATCCAACTAACTATGTATATATAATGTATTTGTTCATACTTGTTGAGATGACTTGCTGCTACAGCAAGTGAGAAACCCGGGGGTGGCTTCACATGTCAATAGAACGGCACGTATGCTGCTGAGGCTCAACATCGTGAAACCCTACTTTTGGAGCTTTCTGTCTTCCAGCTGCCGCTGCCTGCCAAATGTCGTTCTCAGAGCCATGAGTCTTGGGGTAACATGACACAGCTGCGCAACTAGAATCTGTAAACGGAACAAATCCTCATTTAGGATGACGCATTGCTTTGTCGACTTGCCAAGCCTTCGTCTTGGTGGCACAGCGATGCAAAATTGCAGTGAGGCCTTCCGTCATATCTCTATTGAAGTTACAGCTATGGAAGTTGCAAAAGGTTCTGGTAATAATACAGTAATTCTATAATATTCGTGATCTGTAACATCGTCTATGGGCATCTGGCAGTATGGCCATTTGTCACTTCGCCATCTTTCACCCCAGTTCAAGTTGGAAGTTGGAACACTTGTTGGATGCTTACCGAAAATTGCACACAAAACCACCGGGCCTGTGACAGCTGTGAACCGTCCACTTGCATGTGCCAAGTGTGCAGCTGGCGAAATCTTCCTCTCTGGAGGTAAGGTCCATCCTTATACGCTCACATTGTATTTCAATCTTACGGACTAAGCCACGCGATTCTCCACTCTTGATAGGCCAAGTGGCTCAGGTTGACGGGTCTCACCTGTGATGGATGGGTGACAATGACTTTCATGGCCGTTTGGGCCAAAAGCCTTGAGCCCTGCTGCCAGAAATTGTGCATGACTAGCAGCAGCTCTCTCAGTTGGAAGCCCGAAAGAGAGCAAGCGTAAGAAAAATCATCAATCAAATTGGCAACATATGATTCATGTCACAGCTGCGCCTGCACCAGCTCATCTCCAATTAGGCGGAACAGTACCTGAACAGGAAAGGGAGCCTCTGTCAGTGTAACTATGGAAGAGCAGGTGGCTATGATCCCGGCAGTCTTTTGATCCGTGGTGGGCCGGAATGCCCGGACCTGGTCCTGGAGCTCAACAGTGTCTACAGCTGGCCGCAGTCGGCCCAATCTCCTCCAAATAAACCCCACGAGATTGCCATGGCCTCAGACCCTGACAGGGCTAGCACCCACAGGCACAACCAATTGGCAGCTCTGCAAAATCAAGTGGGGAGCACGTTAAAACTGTTATACATTGTATATATAAACCTTTCAGCCATTCGACTTTGCACCCTGCCAGTCTACTAACTAAATTATAGAAAATGTTGAGAATGTATGCTGAGTGATATGGCCGCAGTCCGTCTGTGTGACATATCGTGTCCCTGGAAGTGCGCGTGTCTCTGCCTGCCATATGGGCGCGAAGAAGTTGCAGCTACCAGAAGGAGTTCCAGCAAAGCGCACGACGCAGTCAGCAGAACGTTCCTGACGTTAAGAGGTCTCATGTCAATCCATGTCAATCCTAAAAGGACTTTGTCTTTTTTTGCCCGGGGGGGGTAGGCCGAGGTAGGTAGGGTAGCTAGTAGAAGAGAGGTGGCTACTAGCTACTTGAGCTACTAGCATGGACGCAGGATAGCTCACGCTTCTTCGGGGAGTTTCCTTGAAGAAGCGCTCACACACACTAATGATTTGGTTCCTAGATTATGTTTGGGCAACTTAAGAAAAAAACCGTCTAAGAAGAATCTAAGAGAGGGAGAACTCCCTTCACAGTCCTCGTCGTCAGACTCTATGAAATGGACAGACAACTGCTGAGCAGCGGCGAAGCGTGCAACAACTAAGGGTAATGGATGATCGGCATGGGCAAAGGCTAAATCTGCCAAAAATGTCAGCTGCTGAGCCTGATACAGCAGACCTTCGGTTTCAATGTCATAGACGGGAAGTCTTGCCCAAGCGATCGCAACGATCGCAGCTGAGGCAAGGGAAGAGCACGACGCTGCGATCTTTCGTGAGAGAAAGGACCAGCTTGAGGCTGTCAAGCCTACGTCCCCAGGCTTTGGCTGGTGCTGAAGAGCCCGTTGCAACGTTCTGGCATAGTTGTCCATCTGGAAGCAAGTGCTGCTTGGGTCTCTCGGGTGCTGCGGCTTTGCGTGCTTGTGAAGCAAGTACAAGAGTTGGAAGATGGGCCAACCAGATCTCACCAAGGCACTCCAGCCCAAGGCTTCCAGCAACTCAAAGTCCGAAGCTATCGTCACAGCCTCCACTCCTTCGCCGATCTGGAGGGACTCGATAATGCGAAGAGCAGCTTCTCCTAAAGGACAATCTCCACTCGAAGTGCTGGGCCTTTCCGCTTGAAACTTGCCTGCCAAAGACAGCACTTCCTGAGAAGCAATGGCAAAGTGTCGGATGTTCGGATTGGCCGCTTGGTAGAGTTTGCCTCGAAACTCTATCCATGGTCCTGGGCAGTCTAGGTCTAAGGACTGTGCAGCCACAGCACCCAGCACTGCAAAAGCTGCTTTTGCCATGGAAAGCCCCCCGTCGCCATAGCAGTTCTTGGGCCATTGGGCTATGTTTGTGTGTGTGCGCGTTACTAAAAATTTACTATGTCTCGTTAAGGCCAACAGAATCACACGGTATATAAGTTGCTCGCATTGCAGTAACACTTCCAACTTGTCCTGCCCATTGGTACAACATCCATGCATGCATTTAGACAAAGTAGCAGTTCGAAGTGAAAGTAGTCAATCTTAAAACGTGCTGCTGACGGGCTGACAAGCCCAGCTGAAAATCAATGCAAGCTATCTCAGAGTCATCATTGGCTACGATGCCGCGGCACTCAGTTGCAAGCTTACTAGTAGTTCTGGGAATGCCCCCAAGCGGCCCAAGCAACGGATATGCCAAGACTGGTGCAGCACATCCACCCTGCACAAACTCCAACTGGTAAGGCCTGCACAAAGCTCAAATTGAACGGCTCCATATAGCTACGACAGCAATGCCCAGCTTGGGTCACGTCGACGTGAGTCTGATCACGTCCTATTTAAACGACCACAACCACAACCCATTTCAACTCCCATCGTTGGCAGGCCACTGCTTCCGAATGTCAAAATCCTGAGCGCCTGGGTAAACGCGTGAGGAAAACAGCTTCAGTCAGCGGTGGCCGAAGATTCTGTGTGTAATACGCTGTCAGCTTCCTGACGCCACAGTGTTCGTTAAGAGCCATGCAGCCATGTGCTGTGACGAAAGCTGCACTAGATTGTTGAGGCGAGCCTTTGGAAGTGCCCGACCTTACATGCAGCTACGGTTGATTGCGAATTCCAGCCTTGCTGATCTGCAAGCCCTCCAGTTTAAAGAGCAGGTCCTGGAACTGTCCAAGCATTTGGCAGAGAAGGCATAGTTGTGGATACAGGATGCCTGAGGGCATGCCAAAGAGAAACGCGTGATGCACTTGGGTAATGCATTCTGACCATCCAAGTACGCCTCTGAAGTGTTGTCGCACCATGAGAAAGAGTACCTCCAAGTGCAAGGACGACGGTCCTCAAGCTACTTGGATGACTTTTGATTTTTTCTTGTTAGATCCCAGTGCAGAGTGTGTTGGGGACGTTGGAGCTCATGGCCATCATGAGGCCTGAGAATGACTTGCCGGTTGGGGCAAAATGTTGCTGACTTTTTCAAGGCAAAACATGCGAATGTTGCTTGCTCAAGGTCGCATCTAGGTTTGTAAAATTGCGCACTCTGGGTAGCAGGTGAAGGCCACAGCATAGGGCAAGGTGGCGAGGACCGCGCCACCTGCAGAATCATATCCTCAAACAAGTTTATGAAGAGATATGAAGAGATTTGAGTAGCAAAGAGTTCTACTGTACAATACGTGTAGGTTCCAGTCAAGCCGAACATATCCTAAAATAAGTTAAAGGCGTGTTACAAAGAATTCGTTGACAATGGTCATGCCTCGCCGCATCCTCGAAACTCCATGGAGCCAGGGGACACTAATCTCTACGAATGGTCAAACAATTGGAGTGGAGTTTTAGATCTCTAACGTTCTTTCACGCTATCCACATCCAAAATGCTCTCTCCAATCTGGGCTGCTTGGGGAACTGGGTTGTGATCGGAGTTGTGCTCGCTTCAGGCTTTTAGTTTCAACTACACTGTGCAAGCTTACAGTATAATATCCACGGCAGGTCAACATGGTCAACTATGGCAAAACTCTGTGGATGCAACTTGCGACATTGAGGTGTCAAGCGCTTGATTCTTGTTCTGCACTGCATGCACCCAGTGGCAAATTCTGACAGCAATTGCATTTGGTCTTGCCGCAGTAGGACACACCCTCTGCTCGCCGCTAGAAGAAGGCATATCATTGCCCTTCCGCTACCAAATGCTCTGCCACGCCCGTGCATACCTGCAAACAAAGAACAAAGCAAAGAAGTTCGGGCAAGTGTGTGTCCAAACTGGACGAACCTTGAGTGTAAATGAAGCGTCCATGCCTGACAAAAGAGTAGTCGGGAGAGACTGTGTTGTTGATGCAGGTCGATAGGCAGCTTCAACATGTGCGACATATCACACAGCCGCCATGCCACTTTTTTGGACTTGGGCCCCTGCCAGCATCGAAGGTTACCACCTGAAAGCGGTAAGTTCTGCCGAAGACTTCGGCAAATATACCCGAAAGGTTGCAGTCCATTTTCCCGGAATGCCTCAAAGCTCTCAGTCCCCAGCCAGCACCCACTTTCGAGTTGCGCAAATGTAAGCCTTGCATATCTAGCCACTAAGCCCTCTGCCCAATGCCTCATTCCCTCCCTCCATCAGATCGCGCATGCAGCCAGTTTCACTTTGAGCATCCAACTCCCGCCAGTGTTGCTGCCACAGCCTGTCACTTAAACAACATGTGTAACTGCGCAAACATACGTGTACATACACAATATGTATATATACAAACAACTGTATACATTATGTAAGTATATACTTTATACATATGCGGTGCCGCTGCCTCCCCTCTACTTCCATCAGCTGGGTTATCCAGGCCTAAAAGGACTTTGCTCATTCAACGTCGCTTTCAGTCTTGCAGCCACACACAAATACACACCCCGGCCACAACCATAGGTCCTGATGATATCTGATGATCAATCTTTAAGCAAACCTCCGACTCCGACACTTCAGAAATCTCTCCGTCTCTATTCATTTCTCAACGCGGTACTTGCAATTGCCTTGAGCAAATCTTTGGCAAGCAATTGGGTGCGCTGTACATTAGCTGGAGCCCGTGTCTCTGCAGCAGTCACAAGCTGCAAAAGCTGCCCGCTGCAGCACGTTGGAACAGGCCAAGAGACTTTGTACAATATTGTATCACTTGATTCATCCCCCTCTTTGGAAGACCTCAAGTCTACAAAAGGCTGCATCACCAAACCATCTCTTCGTGTGGTTGCCCAGATGGTCCGTGCGTCAACCAACCTCAGCAGTGAACTAGCAGCACCCAACTACGGCGGAAGCGCAAGTCTTATGCGTCGTAAGGGTCTTCAAGTTTTTTTGCATAGTATATCGCGTAGTAAGGCAAGGAGCTACTAGTAGCGTCCTTGCTCCCAGTAGCGATGCCCTTTGCTCCTAGTACAGTAGCGTCCTGGCCTAATCATATATAATCATGAACATGGGTCCTCGTTGATCCTGGCAACAACACCCACTCATATCATGCATGATCATGCATGCATTGTGGCGATGAACAAGGTAGTGCAGGGCCCGACATATCCATCCCTTATGCCATACTTAGGGAAAGCTGCTGTAAAGCCAAAAGAGCAGAACCCCCCCAGGTGCTCTGTGCCAGGTAGCACTTCAGCAAGTCTTGCTCCTCCTCACTTAGCTGTATACCAGCACCCTCTAGTCTCCTTGGGCCAATGCTGAGTTGAAACACCTCAAGTTCCCCCAGAAATTACATCGCACACCTAAGGGCCTATGATAAGCAATTGTGCTCCACATTCACAAGCGGCAAATTGCAGAGTTTAACAAACGGTGCGGCAAAGATGCAAAATGAGCCTGTCAAATGGCAAATGTTGCCAGCGTTGGGCTTGGAGCCAGTGTAGTACTTTGACCACACGAACCTGCGGGATGAAGGCCGTTCTTAGTCATTGCTCGTCTTGTGGGAAATTGCAGGAAAATCTCTGACGAGTTTCGGGAACTGGTAGGTCCATCATAAAGGGTCAGGGTGAGTTGTCCTATCTTTCTTTCTCCACCTTGCGGCCTTCTCTTTTAGAACTTTGCCGAGCAACTCTCTCATCAGCATAAGGTGAAGGAGGTCCGACCAAATCTGGATAAGCCCATTTCATCTCCTGACGCTGCCAGGTCCACAGCTTCTTCATACTTCTCACGTTGAAAGCCGCCCCTTGCTCCTGCAATGCTGCCTGCAGCTGCCCAGTGTAGGGGACCACCCTGCCGACTGAAAGAATGCAAGTCCCCGTGTGGCCTTTCAACAAAATAAGTAAGAACCATCACCGAACTCCGCTGAAACAAACTCCGCTCAGAGTCAAACGGCCATGCGTTGGATGGGAAGCTCGCAAACCCTGGCGGGACCATGGGCAGACTGAGGGGCGCAAATGGGGCCTGCGCGGGCAAAGCAGAAGCCAGATCATAGATGATCTTAGAATCTTGGCCTCCAACCTACTAGCGATGGCCTCTTTGAGGATGAAAATGGAAATGCTCCGGTGATTTCATCAAATCATGAGTCGAAGTTGAAATGCTTGAAGTTCAAAAACAGCATCACACATGCGCACAAACCAGGCACCTGAGGGGACTGAGTGGAGATTTGAGCTTGGTAGCCGCGAGACTCGGCACCACCAGACGGAGTAGTTTGAGTCTGTTGGTTCCTCAGCAACCAATGCAGTGGGTCATCGATATAGTTGGAATGGCAATGTGTCTGGACATTATTTTCTTCAACATCTGGAAGGCACGGCCTTTCTGTCAAGGCTGCCAAGGCTCACCTTGGTGACAATCCCAGTCTCTGGCGTCTCCTTCTCGGTCTCGGCCTGCCCACACGCAGAAGGTAATGAGGCACATCAAGGCACTGAGGAGATATACTCATGGGCCCGATTCAATGGCCTGAATCGGAGCTTCAAAGGTGGACAGCAAAGATGGCTGCGTAGTTGCAACAATAGCCGACTGCTGCCTTGGCTTTAAAGCCAAATGAGTATTTTCAAAGGAGTGCTTGTGCTAGGAATCCTGGTCAATCTTTACCCCTTTCTTTGCAGCTAAGGTTCGCTTGGATTTCTTCAAGAACCTGTACCTTGCATGCCAGTTCCCCAAGTGTTCTCAACTTCTAGGAAAGGGATTCTGGCAAAAGTTCTGAACGGCCACATGTGACATTCCATGACATTCCCGTACTTGCTCGTTTGTGCCAATGGAGATCATAGAGAGAGAGAGAGAGACAGATAGCGCAAGCAAAACGCAAGAGAGGAGAAGAAGAGGAAGAGTAAGGCACCTAGCGGGCCTCTTGGCCGGGTCCTGTGATGGGGAGGAAGGAGGAGGAGAAGGAGGAAGAGGGCAAGGATGGGAACATAGAGAGGATGGCGAGGAAGGAGAACGAAGAGGAGCATGCTGAAGCCAATTCAAGAAGGAACAAAGAAGGCAAGTCGGCAAGGGAGGGAGAAGAGAGTAGAAATTCCACTGCCTGCACAATCTGTTGGAGATCCACTGCCAAGGTGCCAGCTGCTCCGAAATGTGCAGACGACTGGTGCTCAGTTCAGCCAGGCTTTGCTGCATCTGCAGGGGGTGACTCGAAAAACAGGAAGTGTTGAAATTCAGCATGGGAAAAACGGGGAAAGACTGCACGTTGCAGCACACGGCCTCCTTTAGCTGAGTCTGGACATGCTCGTCAGGTTTGTATTCCTGTGGCTTTCTTCTCGAGGCGAAGGAGGGCGAAGGCTATAAAGTCAGTGCCAAAACAACATCAATGCCGATCCCTCTCCTTGCACCACAGTGGCCTTAACCCCCAACTGCTCAGCCCTAACCCAAAACTACTGGCCTGCAAATGTGGCAATTTGGAGCACATGGTTTCAAATTGTTGCGTCAATCTCCTTGGCTGCACATAGCCACTATATATGGCAGCAATCAAAGTGTTTCTCTGAAGTTCAGTTTGACATGACAGAATCAAAGCTGCAGTACAATCCGCAAGTGAACTCCAGGCAGCTGAGCTGAAGCATCCCGCTCGGACACACAAGCTTCGAAAGTCTTCTCATGCATCTCCTTCACCTGGAGGACTCTAAAGAACATGCTAGCTAGCACAAGAAATGCTTGCAGCAATACAGTCGTGAAAGGCATTTTATGTTTTGGCTATTTTTAGCCCATGAATGCAGTGTAGGACCACAGTCCTAAAGAGTGGCCGTCAAGGCCAAGCCGGTCAAGCCAAGCCAAGTAGCAAGAAGGCATCACTGAAACTAACAAACTGCTCATCAATGCTAATTTTAGGTAAGGAAAAATACTTTATGTTACTATATATTCTATAAGTATAGATTACATATACATAAACAATCAAAGGCCAAGGTGTAGGGCGTACCTCGTCCATAAAGGTTGACAGCTGCAACGGGAATTCCTTGACAATACCATTTAGTTCGTTCAGCTGCTCCTGGCCCGGGTGTATGCACAACACAAGAGATTTCGAACATGGAGCACCACATCAATGAACAATGAATTCACCACTGGTTTCTATATTGTGTCCAACACAGCCATTAACATTAACATGAGGGAACCCTGGTTCAAACGATTGGTGTCCCGCAGTCTCTCTTGGCCAACTGAGAGCATGTTCCTCAGTATTGGGCATGTCAAATGGAAATTGAGACCGGCAGCATGAAAAAGACAGGAAGGCAAAAGTGGAACAAAGTGGGAAACTAACTACATTTCAAAATTCTTTATGACGCAACGTCTACTAGCACTGAGTTTAGTTCACTCCAAAGAGGTCCCAGGTGACGAGCTCAGTGAAAATACTACTGCACGCTGACTGGATGGGTTGGAGTTGAAAACATGCTTCTTGCAATGCAGCTTGACTAAGAAAAATGGGCAGTCCAGTCCAGCAAGTCTCTCCCCAAAAGGTGATTGAAGCCTGAGCGGCCACATCCTGTGCAGGTCATGCTGTACTTCCAGCAGTTCTCGTTTGCTTGCAGGGGATGGGCTCATACGCATCAAACCGTCGATGAACTCCTCCTCCGACAGGGCTCCTCAGCATGGAAAACGCTGAGTAATAGTTAATTGAAGTTTCAATTCGTAAAGCCAATCATTCAACAAATTTAACACTCATTGACACATTGACTCATAGACATCCAGAAGTCCACTTGAAGTGCCCACTACGCCCTCACCAAGTCAGGTTGCCAGCACCTGTGAAGTCAATTAGTTTGAAGAGTTCGTTGAGGTCGGAGCTTGCGATCCTTTCGACTCGAAAGTTCATACTGATCTTCCAACCCATGCATGACCAAACAATAAGTGAACACACGAAGCTGTGCTGGTTTGCGGTGTGGTTTTGGGTTGCGGAGATTCCGTTGCAAAGGCGCTCGGTAAAACGGTAAAACGGTAAAATGTCGAGCGCACACAAGCTCGGGGTAAAACGGCAAAATCTCGAGAACACAGAAGCGTGAAGCATGGGGTAAAAGGTAAAACGGTCAAATGATAAAATCCGGAGATGGCAGAAGCCAGGAGCAAAACGGATAAAAAAGTAAATCATACTGATTTTCCAAAGGTCAAACATGGTAACAAACAAATTTGTAAAAGACTCTGTTTCCTTGTTTGCATCGTTTTGCACACAGGCTTGATTACAAAGGACATGTGCATGCATGCTGCTCTGTTCTGTTTGCTGGCACAATGCTCTGCAGGCTTGATTCTATAATTACATTACATATGCATGCTGCTCTGTTGTGTGGCTGTTTTATGCCTTTCCTGTTTTTGATCCACAGCGGCGGTGAAAAGGGTAAAAACTGTAAATTACCAATTTACCGATTTTACCGAATGTCCGATGTGCAGAGTCAGGAAGTCTACCAATGCAGCGAATTTACCGAATTTACCAAATTTACCTTTGCCCTGACATGTGTAACCTACTGTAACCTCATGTAACCTCTTAGTCTGAACGGGGAGCCGGCTTAGACACCCTTGCCACTTCAAAGCACCGCGCAAAAAATTCGGCTAGCACATGCTAGCGCAATATGCCAAATCTTTCTTCTGCGTGTTTCTCCAGACTATGCAAGTGCCAAGAGGCTGTAGCTTGCCAAGTTCATCCTCCACATGCTGGTCCATATTCTTTTTGAATTCAGCGCAGCTCACTCTTTTGCTGACAGGTTCATCCTAAGCCGCACCACAACGACACATGTTTTAAGCATGTGACCTATGTGTCCTCTCTCCCCAAGATTGGAAGCAATAAGTATAAATACATAAATACAGTTGAAGCATGTTGAAGCAAGCAACCATCTTCCGAAACAGCACTTTCAACTTCTTCACCAGTGTTGCTTTCTCCCTCGTCAGCAGCTCAGATCCTGCCAAATATATACTCGTGCAATCTTGTTGGAACCCCTTCAACGAAATGCGGAAATTAACCTAAACACCTCTTGCAGTCAAGACTCTCTTGGGCCTGTGCTGTAAAAGTGCAGGCATCCAACACATTCAGAATCTGACGCTCGTTGTCACGCATACTGTACATTCAACAAACAAACAGTCAAATGCAAGGCTGCAAGGCAATAAGTCAAGATGTTACTAAAATGTGAAATGTGTCTATACAAATGGACATTATTTGCTCACGATTTTCTTGTATGTAATTATATATGTGTGTTTCTGATTGGCTTGTCCCATCCGCCGCCCATCCGTATCCATCAGTGTCCAGCGTCGTAAATACATGTGTATGTATATATATATATATATGTCTAAGAGTTCTTTGTAATATACATACATGTATAAATAATTTGCGTCGTGATAGATCTACTATGATATACTGCAAAACACAAACATATACAGTATATGTATAAACACATTGGGTCTATCAGTATCGCAGGAGCAGTAACAGGGGATGATGATGGTCAGTAAAGGCCTTGTTCATACTGACTGTTACAGGTAGTAGGACAGAACCCCCCTAAATATATATATATGTAAATATTTATATATAGATATGGGCTCACGCTATATATAACTATATATATACAGTTTGGGATTCACAAAGGCCGCGCCGAGCAGCAGTATGTCAACAATTGCATCAACCATGATCGCTGTCAGCAAGTTGAGCAATGCCAAATTGGCAAATAGAATGAAGACAACAATGCCTCAGATAGATCAAGTTCCTAGGGCCTATTGGTCAAAACTGGAGCAGGCTACATTCCATTTGCAAGTCTGCAACATCTTGTGCACTTGTGCCATCAACGAATTGCATATCAACACACAGAATTTGCGGTGCGGCTTTCTTCAACATAAGCTCAAGTGCAAACAGCCACAATCACTCCAGCGACGCCACTCCTCATGAAGTGCCGAACAGTTGTGGTATAGTCTTCCAAGGTGGCGAAGGAAAACCTTGGGCATGGACTTGATGACATCTTGATGACACATGCAAAAGAGCTGTTCTGCTAGAGCCAGAGCGCGGCTTCTTTCACAATCAAAGCCCCTGACAGGGTGAACATGGCCTCGCCCATATTCTTAAAGAGGTCTGCAGTCAGAGTGTCGTCTTTGAAGAATTCGCGAACATAGTGGACACTAAAGACTGCGAAGAAATAGACGACCTCAATCAGAATGACACCAGTGTTAGCCAATGTTCCAGGAATCTTAAGCTTATGCCGCTTACACCTTGTCATGTGCAATCCATGCAGCCAGGGTCAGGAGAACCATTGCCCAAAACACAGCACGCATGGCTCTCCTTGGTTGAAAGCACCGAAAGTGGACAGGACATGTGCCAAAGCGAGAAAACGTGAGAAACAGTAACATCTCCCATTGGCCCATGGGTCAACACCCCAGCTGTGATCGCAGGCTCTTGGAGTTGGAGAAAATTAAAGCTTGATGAGGCGCAGAATGCCAAGGATGATCAAGCGAAGCTCTGTCACCTCTCATTCGGCACCATGCCGTGGATCCATGCGAAAAGCTGGTGGACATGGGCATGTCACGAGGCAACTGCCACCCGCATCAAGCAACAACAACCCATGTCAAGCGTGATGGATGCCAGGTCTATGCCCATCACCACACGTCCTAGTCGGAGGATTTGGAAAGCGGGTGCGAGAAGAAGCACCTGAGCAAAATGCGCTATTGATCGCTATTGTATAAACATTGCGATTGCAAACCTCGAGCGTTTAACAAAATCCTGTGATGATAAGCAAGGCTCTTCCATTATGCCACAGATTTGAAAATGACCCCTCACAATTCACAATGCCTGAGACTCCTATAACAGTGCAGACGAAGCGCGAGATTGTGAACAGCTTGGACTTGAGGCAGTGGTATGAAATTCAGCACCTGTCTGAGATGTGAAGCCGTGCTCAAGGAAGAATTCACCTGCATGTGCATGCAATGAGTCCTACCCAAGAGTCTGAGGTGCACGCACAGGCATCAATAAAGCAAAGCCCCATGAGGAATGCATCATAGCCTGAATGCACATTGAAGGCACAACAAGCATTGGGCAAAACGAACACTGGCTCTCGAGTAGGAGCGTCAAGAAAGGCTGCACGTGCTAGAGCAGTAAATGAGAGCATGGTTGCTGATAAGCAGGCAGAGCTGGTAACGCGGCAACACCGGCACCATGATGTCCAGCCACAATTCCAGCCAGTCTTCATGAAGGCGTCAATGATGTCAAGTCCCTCCACTGTCGATCTGTGCCGCTGCCACAGCTCATACGAGAAAAAGGCCAAGAATACGAGCTCGACACCGCAGTAGCCTCGTCGTCTCATCTAGCCATGTGCAGTCAAGCAAACGGAGTGATTTAGGTTAGATCTTTGCATTCGATGTCCTTATGCCTTATGCATCACACCAAGGCACATCCTTGGAGTATTGGATCTAGCTGGAGAGTCTGCCAGTCTGCTTTATGAAAGTAGCCGACCACGACAAACAGCACAACCTTATGTGAACAAGGAGAACTGTGGCAGCACGTTCGTCTTTGGTGTCAGAACATGCTTTGCGTGCACACCAAGTGACATTCAACCAAAGTGCGAGGTTGGAAACAATTCTCCCGCATTTTGAGTCAATCCAATGTCTGTGACGTTGCCTCGGCTCTGCGCAGTATTATAGTATTGCCCCAGAGGCAACACCAAGGATGTCCGCATTATTCTTTACTTGCACCGCACTGATTCCACATTGCAACTCAGCTGCATCTCGCTTCTTCCACACTTCAAAAAATTGCCCCAGCTCCTTTCGATCAGAAACTAAAATTCCATGCATGGTGCCAGCTACGAAATCAGCAAATGCGGCAAAGACAATGACATGACCATGACTGACAATAAGTTTGAGGCAGTCCGGAATCAAACCAACTTCCTCCACCGGCCCATTCAAGTAACCGTACAAACGGTCTATCTTCAACTGCCTGAGTTTGCAGCAACATCGCATGTTCTGCTGCACAAACATGCAAAAACACTACAGCTGCATCATTTGCCTTTCTCCATGTCGGTCTTTTCCAAAAATATTTTGTGAACATGTCAACTTTATATTGCAGCAGGATTCCGAACATCTTCTTGACAGTTGAGGTACCGGCGGCCTTGCAGTTGCATCAAGGAACCTTTTGAACTGGTGCTCTTCCTACAAAAGCGTCCCGCAAGGACCAGCACTCGATAGTGATGCCCATTCCTTCAGGCACGGCTAGCAGGAAGTAGCTATACAATATATGGTTTGTCCTCTAGCGCACAGTTCCGGACCTGTGTTAGAATCAGATAGAACGTTAGAATTAGTAGAATTAGAAGTTTGCCCAGGAAGGTCTACGACCACTGTCCATCAACAGTCTTAGCCCAGTGGCTCCCAAAGTCAGGCAACTGAAGGCTTGGATGGTCTACTTCAGCCTTGGATGTTGCAGCCTCCCACTTCACGAAGCGATAGTCAGCTTGGACCGAGGTGTATTGAACTTGAGAAGCGGGAACGAAAGCGACAATTTGGCTCGTCCACCACCATGAAGATCATGAAGAGAAGTATATACTATCAATGAATGGAGGCAAAGGTGTACGCTCTGATGCTTCAGCGCTAGTGTCACCAATAAAACTTGTGTGGATATTGTTCTCGCCGCTCAAACCTCAATCTGGAACATGCTGGAACAACCTTTGTGTCGCTAAGCCAATTCCAACCACTCAAATGGCGTATGTCCCAAGGTGGGGGAGGGGGGGGGCTAAATCAATACGCTATCAATTCGTTTACGGGGGTGTCCCCATTGATTCTATCACGCAAAGTGCGGGGGGAATCTTTTGTAGTGATATATTGATTTGGTCCTTTGGAACTATATGGAGCTATCAATTCTAAGTCTCTCCTTGTAAACAAAAACTTCAGCAGCCCTCCTTTGGAACTCGCTTTCATGATTAGCGGAAACCAATGCAAATGAACAGTCAGGGTGAGTGTCATATGTGGAGCCTCTGGGAGCTTCAAAAGGGGCACCCAATTTCAGAGAACGGACCATGTGCTGTTGAGAAGCCCCATCCTTTGGCAGTGTCTCAGTCGTTGCAGCCTGCCCAGTGCATCTTCTGCAGAGTCACCAAGTATGTCGACCAGGACAACTCATGGGAATTATGCTGTATGATGCTATACTATATATATATATATATGTATTCTTCTTACAGTAAGAGGAGTGAATCGAACGGCCCCTATGGGATCCCATGAAGTCAAAGCGGGTCAGAGCATGTCGGTCCAGCCTGGCGCAGCGCACCTTCCAAAGGTGGGTTTGGGCCCTTCATCTTGCAGAATTGCCGGTTGATGTGCGAACAACCAATGAGACAAATAATAAAGACCAAAATGTCTAGACCAAGACGAGCACTACGGCACACCTTGAAGTCACATCGTCTTCTGTTGAGACCTGGGCCCCTGGCTAGAGGACCTGAAATATATTGAAAACAAACTGACATCAAACAGGTCTTACAGCCTGACGCAGTTGTGCCGTTCGACCCCCAACGAAGCGCTGCATCTGCAGCAAGACTGGGCTGCTAAAGGGGAATGAACCTCTCGAGCCTATTGCTTGGACAACAGAAGTTTGAACCGTTCAATCTCGCCTCAAAAAGATGTTGCTTTAAGCCGCCAATTGCTCAGGTTCTGAACAATGTGTCTCCCTCTTGAGTTTGATCTCATCGGCTATCTGAGATCCATGCGCCATGAACGCCTTCAAGTCGCCTCCAGCACAGACTCTCAAGCAGAAACACCGAGCCATCTTGGCTCATCCAGGTTTAGGACCTTCAGGATGTTGGCGTTTGCTCTCAGCCTGTCCACGCTTTAGTAATCAGAATAGGTGTGCTTGGCAGCTGTCTGGTTACATCGTTCATCATTCCGAATCACTCCTGTTAAGAACAGTTATATATGTAAGCTTCCAGCTGTTTCGGATGCCTGCCAATGCCGCCATGGCAAAACTATCACAGGAGCAATCGAAACGTTGGCTGTGGCTACGCCTCTTCCAGCCGCACCACCCAAAAGTCTCCGATCTCAAAGCGGTCTCTAGGGCACATAGGCCTCCCAAGTTGAGCTTTCCACATTGGACTCCGTTTCAACTGCTGTCTTCATTCTTGATTCCAGAACCGGTTCTCCGAGTATTATGTTCTATGCCCCCATTCTGCACCACATGCCTTCTACCAGACCTTGCTAATTGTTTGCCGTATGTAAAAGTTTGCAGCCATTGATGCAAAGAATTAATCCAAGACCGCCGAACAATGATGCCTGGATACTTTGACGACTTTCGGCTTCGATACACATATGTCACATATATAACTGCACAAGCACCCTGCATTTCCAGCCAGGCACATAGCTCAGGACATCTTAAATCAGAGGCAAACGAGTGCCAAATCATTTGCGAACACGCCAGTCTCCACTTTTGTGGAAGGCCCTGCTGCATCTGCTCAGCAGAATGCCAACGCGTGCAGAAGAATACTGCTTATTTGTGCAGAAATCCACCATTGCGCAAGCAGTCTTTTCTTCGTTTGAAACATGAATTCCAGTGATCCATTCATACCCCAAATACTCAGCTAGTTGGCTAGGTGTGCTTACCTCTCTTAGATTCCTGCGCGTTGGAAAACTTGGGCATACTATGACTTTCAAAGTGAGACTCTGCAAATCCGCCGGACACGAATTGATCTAGCCGTGTCCTCGTTGCGGCCACACCTCCCTCCATACAGCGAGTAGTGAGTTGTCCAATGCGTCATGTGATCAGGTAGCCACAGCTCAAGTGTATTGACTGGATCTTCAAATCCTCAGCCTAAATGCGGCAAAAGGTGACAGTCCGTGTCACCAAGACTATTCCCTCTGAAGTGCTTTCTGAACTCCAAGAAGACCCGCGCTTTACATGTACAAACCAACCTGCTCGCACCGATCCAAGGCAACATTTGGCGTTTCGAGAGAGAAGTTGACGTGCGATGTGGAGGTTTGAGCCGAGGAACTTGAAGCTCACTTGAGAGTGCCGCTGGTACCTCAAGATGCGGGCAACAAGTTTCTACAGTCGTGCATTCCCGCCCTCTTATCTCCAAGTGCTTCAACAAGATATTTACTTCAAGGGATGCTGGTAAACTGCTTGATTCCCATATTGGTTTGTCTCATTCTTCCCTGTGTGAGCATAAAGGACAAGATAGGAGAATCTTTTGAGCTTCTCCAAGCAGCTGTGTGACGAGTCAGGCCTTAGATCGCTATGTCGGCCATTCGGGCCTACTGGCTGCCCAGGAAGGGATAGGTTGTTGGCCTCCACGATGGGGTCTTTGTCCAGCTTCGGCGGCTTTGGTGACTGCAAGGCACGAGGGATCTGTTCATTTGTCTTTTCCCTTTTTCTCTTTAACCTAATAGCGATGACCTCCAAGCCTCATCCTTCCTCATCCTAAGGCTTCTGGTTTCATGTTCCATGGTCCTTCTTTGTTTCCCTTTGGACCGCTCTTTCTTGCTCCAACCAAAGGATTTGTGCATCAACGTCATGAAGCGACTTCATGAAGCGACTTAACACACGCTCCCCCAGCAACCCCAAAGCCTCGGGCACTGAATGTCCTACGTCTTCACCCCAATTCTGCGTCTGCTCTGGTATCTCTTGTCCGATGCTAGAAGCCTGAATCAACGTCTTTCAGCTCAAAAAAGTGCAAAGTGGTCGAAACCCCTCAAAGTGATCAAAAAGGGCAACCATGTTCAGCGAATGGGCAGTGAGTCACAGAAGTGTTTGCACTGTAATAGGGGAGGCTCGTCCTCCGCGGGTCCATTTGCATGGTCCTTGCTAGTTTCAAATCTTCAGATTCTGCCTTGGCTGCACTTTGGACATCATCTTGGAACTGCTCCTCTGACTCGAATGTTTCGCTCATCCATGGAGCAGCCTGACACAAAAAGGAGCCCCGACATGGCGCTTTGACAATTGATTCTTACCGTTTCATGATGTGGAGCCATTGCCAAATTCAACGCCACGCACCTTTCCAGCACCATAGTCGCTGAAATTGCCAGTTCCACATTGTGCCAATTTCTTTCGCACCTTCAAACTCCGGGCTCGAAAAGGATTCTTTGGACAAGTCTTGACTTGACATGATGCATAAGCAAACCCGTGCACCTTCAGCAATTCGTCCAGTTCTTCTTTGGGAGGGAGGTTGATCACGTTTCCACCTTCTTGTGCCTCCTGGGGCATTGATCGTATGATCCTATGCTTGTATCTGAGCTTTGTCAGGCACACAGGGTTGCGGGTAAGAACAGTGTCAAAACTGTGTCACGCAAAACACCCCTCGCAGGCCCAGTCCGCAATGAATTCCAGAAGGATCTTCTGTAGGTGCACTGACTCCTGTCATATACTTGCCACAGGGTAGATCTGACTGCACTTCGCTTGACTGTCTATTGTATTTCAGTCTCCAGCCGTTTGAATGTCCGGCCCACCTTCTCAAACCGCACTTGTTGCTTCCGAATATTTCTGACCGCAACCATCATCGTCTGACAAATTTGGACACTGCACTCGCTTGTATCATGTTGTATCACTGCACAAGCAAGCAAGCATCGTACATCTAAATTTGCTTCTGCATTCAATGCTATTCCAAGGACACGTTTGTGAAGAGAGCCGCTCTGCAACTATCAGTGAGATAGAGAGAGCGAGAGAGAGAGAGAGAGTTGGACGACTGAACGAGAGGTCAGTACTGGCTGGTCAGCTCCACAATATTAATATACAGACTGTCGGTTACAATTTGGAGCAAACTCCAAAAAAAGTTACTCATTCAGGTTCAGGCGGCCTTCATATCAAGATTTGTGGGAACTCCTCGTACCTTCAGCACACAAATACAAAGGATCCAGGAAGCCAGCACCGGACTAAATTCTCCACCAAGCGACATTCTTCACTCCTTCTATGAAACTAGGAAAGTTGACCTCTCGGAATTCCGCTCAGAGACAGCTCGAAAGACATCAAGCCATGAAAAATGTGAGGAAGCGAAGCACAACGAAGCAAACCCCACCTCGCCGGTATTACCCGAATCGATGATGTCGAACAAAGTCTCCGATTGGTCTAAGGGCACACCCATACGTTGCAAAGCACGCCTGCGACCGGTTGCTTCAATTTGTCCCCAACACCGCCCTCGACGTTCCAAGGGCGAACGAAGGCGACAAAATAAAAATGGAAAAATAACTTATGTTGTGTATATAATAAAGAAGAACCTACTAGCCATGGCCTCCAAGAGGAAAGTTTGGATTCCCGCCTTACGCTTGTTGTATTGCAAATATCGCAGAATTCTCTCTTATCCATGGTCCCACTTCCTTGCAGGCATGCACTGGCACACTGCAAAAGGCTATAAACGGCTACCATCTTACTGTGCAGCCCCAAGAGCATCAGGTCAATTGAGTCGGCTGAGCATGTTGATTGCATGCTATCAGCTTACAAATTGCAAACAGGTCACCATCCACATCAGCTTCCTCAAATACTGTTCTGAGAAGTTCAAGTTCCTGCCACCGCAATTCCAAAAGCTTTGAGAGCTGTTGGACTCGGCAGGAAACACAACCCAACGGCATCGAACAGCTGTTCGTTCAATGACAATGTCCTTCAACAATTGTCGCTCTGCGCGCTTTGTTTGCAAATCCATGTTCTGTTTTGCGACGCTTAGCCTTAGATGCGTGTGGCCGCTATCTGATATCTTCGATCACCGTCCTTCGTATGCATTCTTTGCGCCTATATATGGCTCACGCTTCACGTCGGAAAAACGGCCCGCGTGCAACGTGTTCTCTTTAAATCACAGCCACGTGTTCTCAACGACGACACCCACAATGATGTTCCTTTCCAGATTGCTGATTGCTCAACATATCAGAAGTTGCGTCAAGATTTGCCTATCCTGTGACACGATAGGCAATAGACCTTGATTTCTATGATAAGCACTCTGGAACCATTGCAGGTTCTGAGGACCTGGCAGGAGCCCAAAAGTTGTTAGTAGCAGGAAGGTTATCAATGGCACCTTGCGCGGTGCTTCCGATTGCACCCTGCCTGCATGGCTTCATCTGGTTGGCCATGCTAGGGCAAATTATCGCAACACATCGCTCCCAAGGTGTGCAAATCAATTTGGACCACTCCTCCCTGAGAAATTATGAATTGGAGAGTGAGCATTCTTGGCGAAGCTTTGCCAAGATCCTCACCAGCTTCTTTACCAACTTGGCTATCAAAGTAAAGCTGAGATGCAAATAGGGCTGGATTCACTACCATCAGAGGACGTGCAATCAGCATGCCTTAGGAACATGAGATCCGGATGTGGGGAGAAAACTAAAGACGAAGTCGGGTCGCCGGGTCATCCTCCAATGACAAAAATCAACTGCTTCTCAAATGCTGCGGAATCCACACACATAAAAAAACAAAACAATCACTAGTCATTAGCAACATTAATTGTGCAGAGCTGTGCAGCTTAGTCTCTCCACGATTCCAATGTGAGCATCTGGCAGCGAAATCCGAGAGATTGAAAGGCATGCTTCATGAACCAACAACTTGGAAGCAGGTCCAAGAACTGGTAACGGACATTACGATCAACCCGCACATGCCGTATATATATACCTCCCACAATAACATGGTCTGGAGCTGAGCAAACGAGACTGTTTGTGCAGTCCCAGCCCCTTGATCTCTTTGCATCCTTGAGCGGCTAGAGCTGTTGTTGGTTTAGGCCGGTGTGGACGGACAAAGGTTGAATAAAACAAATTACTAAAATTGATGCATCTTAATGTATCTTCATGCGCGTCGTACACTTCATTGCCTCGCCACCTCGCCTGGAACAGTGTGAACATCGCCTTCGGCATTGTCCCAAATAGCCTTGGTGTGTCCGAGGGCCAAGGTGTGAAAATGGCTGTGCCGTTTGTGGCACTTGTCTAGAAGCACTTCACCGTGCACTGCAATGACCACAATTGTGCATTGTGCACCCTGAGTTGAGTTTGAGACATCGAACAGTTCTCCCATTCCGAATAGTCCCGGCTGCAGTCCACCAGGATTCCTTAAAATCATATACCAAGGGCGGACTTCTTGCCACGGCATGCTGTCAAAATCAGCAGCGATCTTGAACAACCTCCTTGGCCCTTCAAAACGATATAGTCCAACTGTATTCAGTCATGCAATGGAAACAAGCTGGGGCAGTTGAAGCAAACTGTGCAACTGCCAACATTCGTGTCAACGCCATGTCCAGGCTGTCTACAGGCTATGGGCCTTGGGATAAGCTGAGTGGCTGAAAAGGCAGCTATATGCCTTAGATCCGTTCGGAGTCGCTCAATTACCTGCTGAGAGCTGATCTTTAAAGACGCTGACCAGTGCTGACCAACCACATAAATCACAAAAAGAATCAGGAAGGAGACCCAGCATAGAGTGCTGAAGGACTCCTTAGGCCGAAAGGCAAGTTTGATGGCAACACATGACCCTCTTTGCAGCATTCATTGTGAAGAAAATCCTGCTTCCGCAATTTTGCTCAGGTGTATTCTTTCATTCTCTGAACTTTTAGGGAAAAGATTCGATGAAGCCTTGAACCAGCAGCCAAAGATTCCTTTGCATCTTCATCACCTAGCCCCGCAGCACGCTCACTGCTGCAAACCATTAGGGGCAAGGGCCACATCCGTGTCCAGGACAGCTGGCGATGATGATGCTGCTACTGCAGCTAATGATTTGATTGAATGCTCTGCTAGCATGGACCCATGTAAACTTGCAAATCATCAAGCACGTGCAAGCACCAAGAATCCAAGAATATTGAGCAATCTGTTGCTGCAGCCCAAGGCACTCTGAAAAGCTTCCTTGGAATTGCAACATTCAACGAGCGATGAGACCTACCATCACAGTCTTTGACCTCTTGGAATGAAATTGCACATGTATCTTCGTCCCTAATGAGTCATTTCATGGGGTGTGTGTATAGAGAGAGAGAGAGAGACGTGCGTATACCATTGTATACCCCTCTATGAGCACAGCACATCAGTTCTTTTTTGGGGCCAGCTGTCGCATACCCACGTCACTCCAAATTGCTAAGGCATCAAGGGCAAAAATAGGGAGAAAGGGAACAATTGACCAGATCGTTTGGAGCCATGCTTTTGCAGTTGAGCCTCACAAGTCTGAGCAGCCGCAGCATGCGGATCACCCGGAGGTAGCCCACGTCACTCGGGTCTGAACCTGAGAGATACTGAAACACAAGTTGCGCTCGAACAGCACCATGCTGGGCACATCTTAGCAGCTTTAGCATACTTCAGCTGCTGAGGAAACAAAATCAACCAGCATTTGCTGCTTGCACCCAGGCACTGCGAACGAAAGGTGATATCCAAGCATCGTATATGGCCAAAAACACCAGGAATAGGTCCTTGACACGAGAGAGCTTGCAGCCAGTTCGACATCAACCACGCCAGCAATGCGTTCATATCATTGTGCGGCTCCGGTTCCAAATAATTCCATGGATCTTTGCAGTATAACCATCCCAAACAAAATAACTTCAGCAGCAACTCGCAAATCCACACGATACAGAATACGTTCCTCATAGCATGGGAAAATACACGGAAAAAAACAGCGGAGGCATTGAGAATCATTGAGAGATTCAGAATTGGACATCACCACTTCACAAATACACCGGCATATGCCGCCGAGAAACTCGCACACTATCCAGAGTGCTTGTGGCGTGTGCCTGGACTGGGGTCCCGACCGATGAAGCTGTGAGTTCTCAGTCTTTCTCTAGCCCTCTTTTTGTCTATCGATTTGAGTTTTCTGGGGGTACACAAGGTAAGGCCAGGGCAGCTAGCTTGTACCTTATAAGTAGCTAGCAGCAAGGAAACTGCTACCGATCAGACCCAAAAGCGCTGAGATTCCTAGATTTTAGGAAAACTATGGAAAACTGAGTCCTTTCCGTGTTCCTTCTTGTTTTATTCTTTCTATTCCTGGGCATCGTAATGCATCGTAAGTATGCGCAGTGCACGTACTAATAACGGAATCCACGCCCGCCCATGCTCGCTAGGATGCTCAGAGAGGTCGATCTCCAGGCCCAAAGCAATGGAGTTGGCAACGATGACAAGAGCTATTACCTGAAAAACTGGCAATAGATCCGCAGTCAGTAAAAATACAAATTTACTTATACAAACTTGCAGCAGGTTAGCAGGTCTGGGGACGGCACAAGGTCAAATTCTGGCTTTTGGACGAAGCTTCCTGAGAGTTTGGAAGCTTTGCTCGTTTGCTCCCTTTTCTGGTTATATAAGCTCCGAGCCTCCTCCTGGCAAGTCGTTGTTGGTGGCCACCCCTTCCTGTCAGAAATTGCATTTGGACCCCTATTGACTTGTCTGTTGCCTGCAGGGGGTTCTCCCAAATCCTCGTTTCAACAAAGAAGATCAAACAAATTAGAACAACATATCCGAGGGGTGTAAGGCTTTTTCAACGTGCAGGTTGCTGCGGCGGTACGGTAGTCGTTGATCGGAATGCAACAGCAGTAAGGTTCAATAAGGATCAATGGATTCTCCAACAATTTCCTGTTGACGGGCCTTCTGTAGGACAGCTTGAAAGTCTGAATCATCGACCTTCTTGTTGCCCTTCCTCACCGACACAGGTTGCTTCCACAAGTGTATTCATGGGTCATCACCTGTTGAAGCGATTGCAGTCCAAGCAACACAGGGCTTCCTGGCACCATGGCTCACCATAAGGCTCAAGACCAAAAAAACAAACAAACAACGCCGGCAAAATCCGCTCAAAGCACCACATCATACTAACTCGTCCAAACTGTCCAAACCGCCTTCACCTCGCTCCCCTCGTTCTCGCTCAATTTTTTCTCGGAAGAGGTCTTTGTCATCAAGCCTCAGTACGGACCAAAATGGAGAAGAAAGCAAAGCCAAGCAAAAGACAAGCGCAAAGAGCATTGGAGAGAGAGAGAGAGAGACAGAGACACATGGCTTTGGGAACAAGATGAAACAAATGGCACGTTGTGTTTCAAGACCGTTTGGTTGAGCCTCGGACTCCTTGGTGCCGGGGCTCTCAGGTACAAATGACGGTCGTGCAATTTGTGATTTATTGGATCGCCTCATGCTAGCTCTCGTCGCCATCCTTCAGGAAACCACGGTCGCTTGCCAGCGGCCCCTGGGGTCGTTGGCTCCTAAGCCTGAAAGAGGAGTTGTTTTGGCCAAAGACTGCAGAGCAGCGCCGCCACGCGCAGCACATGTCTAGCAGGACCCATGTCTCTAGCTTTGAGCCAGAAGCTGCAGTTAAAAGTCTGGTTGAAGCCACGCGAGTCGTGGTCATGGAACAAAGGACTCTTCGCAATTCGTTATATGCAGGCAGCATCTCTGCGTATGAACTGATCAACCACATCAACAGAACTATGGCCAAACTAGCAACAGTCGAGACCGCTATGGGCCCTAAAGCCGTAATCAGGAGCCTTTAGCATCCTTTAGCAACAGTCGAAAAACATTCGTTTTTCAACTGATGTTTGAGAAAGGGCTAGCGTTTTGTTTTTGGAGAGGGGTGTGACAAATTGTGACCTATCGACTTTTCAGGGAAGAAACAACTTCTTGACTTGGTTGGAGGCTCTTCAATCTGGAGTTTGCAATGTTATGCAATGTTTCTATATAAAAATTAAATCTCCAGCAGAAAATGAAACAAAGTTCT